GGAGAGAGAAGAACAAGCAGAAACAACCCTAAGCTTTAAACAAAAACAAGAACAACAAAAATAAGAAAAAGAAGAAAAGGAACAAAAAGAAGAAAAAGAAAAGAAAGAAAAAGAAAGAGAGAAAGAAGAGTAGACAGACCTTGATGTCTTTGTGTACAGAGACGAAACAACTCGCAGCCTAATTCAAACAAACGAAAAAAAAATATTCTTTTGCTGCTCCACTGGAGGAGACGAAGAAGAAAACAGAAGAAAAACAAACGCCTGAAGTTGAATATAAATATGTTATATAGCTGCAGCAGCAGGAAACCCTCATATTCCTGCTGCAGCTGCTGCAGCTGCTGTTGCTCTGCTGCTACTGCTGCTGCCGCTGCTGCTGCTGCTGCTGCTGCTGTTGTTGTTGTTGTTGTTGTTGTTGTCGTTGTTGTTGTTATTTCTGTGCTGAAGGAAGGAAAACCTTCGGGGTGTATATGCAGCAGAAGATGAACAAGAGAAATGCAAAAAGAAGAAATACAAGAAAATAAACACAACTCCACCAACGAGGGTTCTGGGGTTTTTATTAAGCGGATCTTTGTTAGGCGAAAGAGAGGCCATAGAGGAGATGAAGGCCAGGGGCTTAGTATGAATTCTGTATTCATAGCCATCTTGCTGCAGCATCAATTCTTTTATTTTTCTCCAATAAAAAAAGAAAACACGATTGTTCTGCTGTTGTTGCTGCCTTTGGTGCTGCTGCTGCTGCTGCTGCAGTGCTGCATAGTGAACAGGTATTAAACTCAGCTAAAAAGAAGGAAAAGGAGAGAATGAGTTGAGATGATTCAGACTTCGATGCACGCAGAGAAACGCGAGAAAAATAAAAAGTGAAATACCATATTGTCACTGCAGCAACAATCGAGGCAGCAAGGTGAACATACAGCAGAAGACGTTATAGGAGAGGCTTTGAAACAAAAAGAAGTAAACGAGAAGAAAAAGATAATATTAGCTTTCTTATTGAGTGTTGCTGTATGAGATCATACTCAAGGCAACCACTGCTGGCGCTAGTCTAGCATACTTGCAATCCTTCGTTGGTTTTGATGCTTCTCATGAAGGAAAACCTGAAAAAAAAGTTGAATTAAGTGTAGAATATTGATTTAAATAAAAATAAAAGCGGAAACTTCATTCAAAAAGAGATATCGATGGAGATATCAACAGCTTTCCTTTTTTGGTTTCAGTGCACATGCGGTGCAGAGGCTGGCTGACGACGGCGAAATACGAGCAAGACACAGCGGTATATGTCTAGGTAATTTAAATATCTTTTGACTAGTTAAAAATAAAAAACAAAATAAATTATAAATAAATAAGTTTTTTGGTGTTTCCATCGATGAGTTTACTGCTTTCTGCACAGGATACAGAAACTCAGTTTGAATGAACCGGAGCTGCCTGTACACCGCAGCTGAGCTCGGAGTTTCTTCGTTCAAGAAATTCAAGCCATTCAACTTTGCAGTATATCATTAGTCCGTGGTTTGTTTTTTTGGAGGTTTTCTTTATAACTTCTTTTTATTTAATCTATAAAAGTGTATTTCTAGAGGCAGACGCGGAGCGGTCGCTCCTTTGTTGCAGCTCTTTCTGCCTTCCCCCCTCCATCCACGGAAGCTGTATATCATTTGATTTGACGTGTGTGTATATATATTTTTGTGTTTTTTTTGCATTTTTTTATTTATTTGACCCTGAATTTGAGTCATTTTCGTGCAATGTTCTTCTCTTCTTCACGGAAACCGGCTGAAACCGACGCGGCGGCATCTGCCTCTCCATCAGGAAAGCAAGCGTCAGCATCCTGCAGCTCTTCTTCATGTATTGTCAGCATTCTCCTTTTTAACCCAACTCTTCTCCCTGATGGATATTCAAAACCAAGAGAAAGCGAGGAGGATGATGATTCCTCTTCTGAGCCAGATGAATCTAACGATGAAGAAGAAACCAACGCCGATGGTCTTTCTAGGGAAGAAAGAGAACAAGAAGCAAAAGTTATATTCAGCTATCCCCCAGATAGAGAACCCGAGGAGAGGAGATGTCAGGCGGGCCTTCTTGAGGGTTTATTAATGTTTATCAAGTAAGGATTCTACATACAGCTGCTTTTGAATTAGGGTTTAGGGTTTAGGGTTTAGGGTTTGCCTGTGCTCTTGCTTTTCTTTCCTATGACACAGTTCACCTACTTCAGCTTTCTTGCATGCGTTTTGTTTTCTCTTTTTAATTATATTTTTATATTTTTTTTTGTTTTCGGGTTTATTATAACAACCCCACCAACAGCTGAGGTGTATGTACACTGCATTTGTTGCTGCAGGCCCTTCTCTCCTGGTGAAGCTCCTTTGCGTTCTATCTGCACAGACAAATATATAATTGTTTTAAAAGAAGTTGAAGAAAACTTCTGGCTGTCTATGGTTAGTTTATTTCTTTACTAAACCCTAAACCCTAAACCCTAAACCCTAAACCCTAGATTGTAGATGTATAAAAACTAGATATATTAAACACATCGTTGTCCAGCATTTTTTAATTATATTTTTTTTATTTTTATGCTGCAGACATTTGCTACGAGCGCGCTTTCTTCTTTCGTTGCTGAGGGGAACCGGAGGATAGATGAAGATACACAAGAAGAAATTCTTTTGGGTGTACGTACACCTGAAATTCAAGCACTTTTATGTAATTATAACAATAAATAATATTATAATAATATAAATAATTACAACATATATATATGTATATATATATATATATATATATATATATATATATATATATAT